TCCCACAGCCTTCCCGCCACCCCGTCACAAGACGCCCGACGCGTTGCGTCACAAAAACGCAAAGCGTCCCCGGCCGTCCCAGGAAGGGGCGGAGCCTAGCTCCGGGAGCGCAGCAACCACCGGCGCAATCGCATTGCAGCTCGCTAGCGCCGCGATTTGGGATTAAAGCGGGAGGGCGGAGCACACGGGCGCAGGCGTATCGTAGGACTCTGCTCCGTGAAGGCTCGGAGCGCTACAGGACCTAGAGATATGACGTCATTTCCGGCAACAGGTAGTTAGTGCTTCCGGGTCACGGTCACTTTGCGCCTGTATCTGGGTGACTTCTAGGCGGCGCGGCGCAGTCCATCCCCCTCCCTCTCGTCGCAGTTCTGCGCGGTCCTCGTTCCCTGTCCCCCTCTAGGTTTTTCTCTCAGCTTCTGCCACCGGTCGCTTGGGCTCGACGCGTCGTCGCCCGCCGCTGCATTTGGGAGGTGGGTGAGGGGCATAGTCCCGTCTTGGCCCTGCCTGCACCAGTCCATCGCCCCCTTCGCGCGGGTGTCCACTGTTTTGCCCTTTCCGCCATTTTCCTGCGGTGAAGGCGGACTAGCTGCAATCGGGGTCTGCGCTCTTGGGTGCTGGTGACTGCGGGAGGCGAGGGGTTTCCGGGGCGTACGGGTTGGAGAGATTTGTAGTGACGAACGAGTGTTGGGGTGTAGCTCGCTACCAGCAGGTGGGAGACGGTTTTGATGGCTGGTGGGTAGAGTGCAGGAGTCTTAGGCCACTGAGGGTTCGTTTCAGGGTTTTTCTTCGGAATGACGAGCTTTAAATGTCTTGAGAGGTCTTGGTAGTCTATAGGAAAGACGCTTTTGGTGGAAAAGAAAGGGATGCATTTGTCTCATACGATTTTTAAATGTAAGTCGTTTGCCCAAAAGGCTTCATTCATCCGTGAGTTCAATTTACCCCATTTCTTTTCCCTAAGGGATGACATGTAGTAGTCTTTTCCCTAAGGGATGACATGTAGTAGTAAGCCTTCGATGATAGCTTGTTTACTAAGAGAATTGTGGAAGGGCCGTCTTTTATTTTATTGAGAAACAAATGAGACAGTTTCAAAGCTGATTAATAGGACAGTTTCGATAATTAATACATTGTACATTGTTATCTTCTTAGTGGCTGTCCATAGTACAAGAAGCAGACAGGATATCCTGTCCAAACACTATTAGTACAAATCTTTCTTTTCATTGAATTAAGGGATTGTAGCTGCATATCTATCCAAACTTGTATATACAGATACAAAATGGTCTGGAAGGGCCTTCTTGTCATCCTCTGTATACCATTTTCTGTTTCCGTGTAAATTTTCAAAAATGAAAGCCATGATCTGATAATGAGCTTTGAAATAGTTATCTGCGATATGGTCTCTCAAATCCTGAGGTATGGGTTTTAAAAAGTCAAAGTAAGTGGGGAAAAAAAAAAAAAAAACGTGTGTTTTTTTTTTTTTTTTTTTTTTAATTTTTATTTATTTGTGTGTGTGTGTGTGTGTGTGTGTGTGTGTGTGGCCAGCTCAGCCCACCAGGGGGCGGGGCAGGCTGGCATGTGGTGCTGGGGGATTGAACCGTGGTCCCTGTGCTTTGCTAAGCTTGTTCTAAGTAGGCGCTTTAGACCAATGAGCCATCTCACCAGCCCCAAGACGTGTGTTTTTGGAGTGGTGCACATCTTTAATCTCATATACTTGCACAAAAGAAAAATGAATATTTCAGGCTAGAGAGGAAAATTTAGAGGATAAAGAGTTTGCTGTAGAATTTAAATCACAGAAGGGTATGTTGTCTTTGTTGTTAAGATTTTTTTCCCTCTTTGGAGTACAGCTTTATTGGAAAGGTTGCACATTTCCTGCTGTTTATTTTTAAAATGAGAACTTTTTTTTCTTGTTTTGGAAGGAATTATACAGATCATTCAGAATAGATTTCTGAAAGGATCCAGATGTAGGATAATGTGAAATGAACCAGTTTCAAGAGGGAAAAAAAATGTCAGTTTCATGGTTTTAACCTTATACTCATCAATGATAAGTGATAAAGCATTTTTTTTTCATTTTTTTAAAATTAATGGGCCAAATTTGAATAATCCAAATTATTTGTTAGGTTTAATGTTTGCATTTTTATGTCAAGTATTTAAAATGTAGTAATGTTTAGTAAGTATTAATTGCCATGTAGACCAGTAATTTATTGTTACCTGTGTTCAAACTATTATGATAGTTCCTAATACCTAGTGTAAATGTTTTTTACACAGGAAAGATGAATGGGCGGGCTGATTTTCGAGAGCCGAATGCAGAAGTTCCAAGACCAATTCCCAGTAACTATCATATTAAGTATTTATAATTAGAAGCATTTTCTATGTAAAGGAAATTTCACTGCCTGAGTAACAGTAGCAGTTGTTATTCATTAGGCAGTCACAGACTTGATTTAATGTTCTACTGGCGCCATCTTGAAATTCTTAGTAATTTCAATAAAGGTCCTGCGTTTTGATTTTGCACACAGTCACGTATATTAATTATGTAGCCAATGCTGACTAGCAGGTAGTGCTACTAAATTGTTTGAAGTCAAGGTTTGCCAAACGTACATTAGCCAATTGATTCATTACTTAATTTTCTTGAAAAAAATACTGAATGTCTTTTGTTAAAATTTGTACTAAGGTATTCTTCAGTTTTGGTTTTATTATTGGCATTTTATATTTTCCAATTTTCCTTGGTGAAAAGTCATAGGAGCTGATTACATTCCGACAGAGGAAGAAAGAAGAATGTTTGCAGAATGCAATGATGAAAGCTTCTGGTTCAGATGTGAGTTGAGTTTTCTTATCAGCATATTTTCATCTAAAATTTGCACCTGAAATTTAGACCTGAATTTTTATTTGAAGTTAGAGTAACTCCATAAAGAAATTCTCACACTTTGGCTTAGTATGGTTGTTGCTAAAAGAGATTAGTTAAGGAAATAGAGGTATGCTTATTTTAAGGTAGTTGCAGAATTGTTTTTCAAAACCATGGGCTAATTTTGTGAATAATATTTAGTTATATTTACTGAGCGTACATGGATTTTTTTTTTTTTTTTTTTGGCGGAACCGGGGATTGAACCCAGATTCTTGCGTTTGTCAGTCAAGCGCTTATCCTACTGAGCCATCTCCCCGGCCCCTGTACATGGATTTTATGAAAACAACCCCATGAGGTTGGTCAGTGCTGCTCTTTACAGATGAAAGCATTGAGGTTTAGAGATGTTAAATGAGCTAACTACTGTTACATAACTAGTAAGTCATGATGTCCGAACATGAAACCAAGTATGTCTGAAACAGAAGCTCCCAATTTTAATGCTTTTAACCACTACATAACAAATATTGATTACTTCCCATTTTAGTATTGTAAAATGTTACTATACTATTAACTCTTGATTCCTGTCTAGAAAGCTGATATTTCAAGATTTTTTTTAAAAAACAGTATTGAAAGCAGTATGTAAAATAGTCTTTTAAACAAAACCTAATATTGCTTCACCTAAAATCTGTAGTCCTGAACAGGTATGATGTGGTAATTGGAACAGAAGGGATGGTTAGAATTTTCTTTTTTTTAAATATATTTAGCAGAGGGCCTACAGGGTCTCACTACACAGACCTGGACTCATAGTGATCCTCCTGTCTTCAGCCTCCCAAGCACTGGGATTATAAGGCATGCACCACCACGCCCAGTGTCAAGTCTCAGCACACCTGGGGAATGGGGCCATCACCAGCACAGCATGCCAGGGATCGACCCTAGTCCCTGTGCTCTGCCTAAACAGGTGCTTTAGTCTGCTGTGCTATCTGGCCAGCCCATGGGATGGATGAAATTTTAGTTTTAGTTTCTGTTTTTGTGGAACCGGTGATTGAACTCAGGCCCTTGTGCTTGCCAGGCAAGTACTTATTCTACTGAACTAACTCCCCGGCCCCTGGATGAAATTTTAAAGTGCAAAATGATAAGGTATATTTTTTCATCAACCTGTATACTTACAGTATACTGGATACTTTGCTTGGAAGATAAGTTTGATGAGATAGTCTTTGACCTGATGTTGTTGAAACAAAGATAACACATGAAACATACCGAGAAAGATGCTATTCATAGCTGTAGTAAGAGTTATAAGAGGGGCTGGGGAGATGGCTCAGTAGCATAAGTGCTTGCGTGGGAAGTGCAAGAGCCTGAGTTCAGGGGCTGGAGAGATGGCTCAGTGGTCTAAAGCACCTACTTGAAACAAGCTTGGCAAAGCACAGGGACCTCGGTTCGATCCTCCAGCACCACATGCCAGCCAGCCCCGCCCCCTGGTGGACTGAGCTGGCCACACACACACAGACACACACACACACACAATAAATAAATGTAATAAATAAAAATAAATTTAAAGAGCCTGAGTTCAATCCCCAGTTCCGCCAAAAAAAAAAAAAAAAAAATAGTTATAAGAGATAGTTATAGGGCTGGAGAGATGGCTCAGTGGTCTAAAGCACCTACTTAGAACAAGCTTAGCAAAAGCACAGGGACCACGGTTCAATCCCCCAGCACCACATGCCAGCCAGCCCTGCCCCCTGGTGGGCTGAGCTGGCCTCTCTCTCTCTCTCTCTCTCAAATAAATAAATTAAAAAAAAAAAAAAAGAGATAGTTATAATTGAGCAAAGGCAAAATCTACAGTAACCTTAAGGCTAATCTGATAAAGCAGAAGTCTTTTTTTTTTTTAATCTCCATCATGATATTTTATTTTGTTTCTGAAACAGCAGTCAGAATCTTCAAAAAAAAAAAAAAGGGCAGAACTAGAAGTACAATCAAAACTTCTGCATCATAAGCGTTTTGGTCCTAAAACTGAGTTAAGCAAGGCAAAGCAACTTTCCTCCAAACTAAATAGGTCCCCAGTATTCCACCTCACTGAGCTTTTAAACACCAAGTGCTTAGGACTTAATACACAGCCATCCTGGTTGTGGCTGTGTTAATTATGCCTAAAGAGCTTAATACCCACCTAGATCCAGAGGTGGAAGAACACATACCATGTGATGGGCAGAAGCAGACTGTAAAAGCAAAGGCTGGCTGTACTTGTGCAGCCCTGTGGGAAGTCTTCCTCTACCAAGGCTGAATAGAACAGTCCTGCTAAGGAGATCAGTGGAATAAGCATAGTCAGCATAGGCAGAGACAGAAACATTCTTCCTCACTCACAAACTGCTGCCACCCTGTTTTAAAGTGTATATAAGAATTAAGAAATTGTAGCTGTGTTTTTTAAAAATGATGATTCAGTGCTGCTCTGTTTCTTCTTGCTTCTTCTGTTGATGTGTTGCTCTAGCTGCTTGTGGTATCATGTTAACAATCCCATCAATGATTGGATAGGCTATCCCAGCTCTTCATTGATCAGTTCATTTGTGGGTGCTTCATTTCGGAGCAGCTTCTTGGAGAGTGGGCACACCAGGAACTCCAGCAGTGGTGGGGTGGCTGCTCTGCCCCCAGGCTTGCACCCCCAGAAGTCTTTCTTGAGAATAGAAAACAACACACTAGTGAGGAGCTAAAAGTTTGACTTACTGTATGTTTAGTTTCTTGGGCAGTAGGAAGAATGTAGGTTTTCAGAGAAAGATTAGTGTCCATTGTGGGTTAGAAGAGTGAGAAGTAGTACTGCTGAGATCTTTTATAAGCTTTTAATGATAAGCATATAGTTTTTGACTACGTTGTCATTTGAACTGATAATGAAAGATTTTTGAAAGGACATGTAGGATTTCAGAAAGATTGACTAATGGGGAATGAAGGAAAAGAGGTAATAATTTCGAGATAGTCCAGTTTATGTCATTGCTGATTAAAAGATATAGTTAGAATTTTGTTTTTGGAGGAAGAAACAGATTGTCATTTTGCATTCATGGTGGAACAGATTTCATATCTGATGACATAGGAAAAATGTTTAACATTCTAAACAGCTATAACCTTATGTTAAAAGTATGATAAAGAATATTGATCTATCAGCAGGATTTCTATGTCTAATTATTGATAGTAGGACATGTAGTATATGAACAGTAAGAAGTGTAATTTTTGTATGTTAAAATGGGTTAATCCCAAATTGAAGAGGCAGAAAGCATGTAGTAAGTACAGGCTTAAAAAAGCTTAATTGTATATCTGGTCTACTGGAAGATCTGGAAGATTACAGCATTCAGAAATTAACAACTAGCAGCAGTTACAGCAGCAATTGACCTTTTCTTTTTCTTTTGGTGGTACCAGGGCTTGAAACTGGGCTTTTGCACTGAACTACATCACCAACCTTTCCTTATTTTGAGACATGGTCTCTTATTCTCTTGTGTTGCACAAGCTGAGCTTGAACTTGTTGATCCTCCTGCCTCAGCCTCAGAGTGTTGGGATTACAGGCATGCACCACCATACCTGGCCAGTAACTGACTAAAGCAGCAATAACTTAGCTGTTATATATTATAACATCAGATATTCAATGCATAAGGAACTGTAGCTATAACCAGATGGTAAGAATTTCAACATACAGTTAACAGGAGAACTTCATAGACAATGTTAGGGAAATTTTGTATTTTAACATTTGTATCTTCAAATAAGATACTCCGTGTAGTATGTAACATGTCCATGTTATGTAAATGAATAAGGGAATTCATATTATATGGGAATGTCAACTTGGAGCTGTTAATGAGAAAAGGATGGTGAGCAAAGCAGGAATATGTAGAAAACTACTGATGGTATTTATACCTTCTTGAAATCTGTTAAGTATATTAGTTTTGGTTTAAAATTAGGCTTGTTGTTTTAGACTTTTCTTTTTTAAAAAAAAATCATTGTATTTGTTTATTTGGTACAGGGTCTCGCTACACAGCTCCAACTTGTAGTGATCCTCCTATCTCAGCCTCCCCAGCACTGGGATTATAGATGTGTACCACCACACCCAGTTTCAGTGGCCAGCATGGCATGCAGTATTAGGGATCGATCCCAGGCCCTAGACTCTTTTCTTTAAGTTGTTTCTTAGATTTTTTTTTGTCGTCGTTGTGATACCAGGGATCAAACTTGGGACCCTGCACTTGACAGGCAGGCGCTTGTGCTGCTGAGCTATATCCCTGACCCCAAGATGTTTCTTCTCTAATTTACTTTCTTTCATCATAAAGTATAACTGTGAAGGTATCTTATTTCCAATTGTTGAAAATTTGACTCTACATACTGCCCCAGAACCAATGTGTATGCTCAAACACATACAAGTAGTAGAAAAATCAGTACTTTAAAGATAACTTAGTTGTGTATTAGTTCTTCATTGCATATTACAATAACTCTCAGCTTCTGGAATTAATGAAAACTCATAGTCTGATTTGCATCAGTTTTAGATTATATCAAAATATTTCATAACATATCATTGCGTTTCAAATGAAAAGTATGATCAGGAAGACCATGGACTCAGCCCCGCCTGATGGTCTGAATTCAAATCCTACATCCTAGGTGTGAGATTTCGACAAGTTCCTGTCTATGTTGTTTCCTTATCTGTTAAGCAGGGATGATGACTACCTATCACATGAAATTGTTATGAGGATTAAATCATTTAGTTCAATTTAACTGTATAAATATTGGCTATCTTTGTTAAGTGGCTGTTGATGTTATTGTGATTAATAAATGTTCCTATTAAAAATTGTGAATTTAGAATAACATTTTATTGGGAGCGGGAGAACAGTGCAAGGAATTATAGGTATCCTTGAATTGAATATAGTTTGGACTATATTCATAATGTAGAACAGATTTTGGTTTGCCTAAGGAAATATATTAACAGACTAAAATAAGAATCACATAATATAATGGACTGCTTTACATGGATATAAAATTTGGGTTCTAATTCAGCCATACTACAAATCAATTATCTGTGTTGCTTTGAGCATATGACCTTGTAGATAATCAGTTTATTCTGATTAAGAGGACTAGATAACCTTCAGAATCTTTTAAGTTTTACCATTATCTTTCAGTGTGACATGAGATAAAGCATGAGTTAGGCCTAAGCCATCATCCTTTTATAACATGTGAAGTTAAGAGATATGTGCAAACAGGTAATGGAAGAACTACTATTGGAAACTCCTTAACCTGATTATTGCTCTTTGCATTAACTGAAGAAGCATTGTCCGTTGTAGAGATGGCTAACTAACTCATCACCTTTTATCCTTATATAATTCTTCAGTGCTACGTGTTACAGTCCTTGAACCAGGCTGAATTTAAAGGGATTTGTCTTTTGAAAAGCCTTAAATCATAATACATGAAGGCATCTAACCAGCCAGGATTAAAGAAATCATTTTCCCAAACAAGGTAAAATTTGTTAGTAAGTAGAATAGGAAGGAGTCAAACCTTAGGGTTTCTGCACATTGTGCCCAATAGAGGAACCCTATTCCAAAGTTAATGGATTTTAATCATAAGGTTTCTCTAACAATTCAGGTGTCTCAGTTATTTCTGTGCTTAAATTGCCCATGTATAACTTAATTTAAACCAGAGTTGAGCAAATGGCAGACATGGATCAAATTTTTTCATATACAGTAAGCAAACAAAATAGTTGTATTTTGATGTGATTGAGGAAAAGGAGGAAGACTATCTTGTTGCATTTGCAAATTACATAATTTTTGCATTCATAAATAAAGTTTTATTTGAACACAGATAACGTTCATTTTTTATGTATTGTCTGTGGATGCTTTTGCCATAAAACAGTAGTTGAGTAGTTAGAGCAACTAATAGACTACAGAGCCCTGATATTTATCATCTGGCTCTTTGTAGAGCCAAATGCCAACCCTGAGGTAGGAACAGCATTGTTTATGGTATCCACTGACCACATGTAGCTATTTAATTTAAAGTGAACGGATGTAAAGCAAAATCAAGGAAAGGAGAATGGGGTGAAGCGCAGAGGAAGTCAGGCACAAACTTCTAAGAGTCTTCTCCCAGTGGAACCCATTAGCCACCCAGTAGCAACTCTTATTAAATGTTACATTATCATTGAAACTCATTAGAAGCTCATTGTCGGGTATTTTTATTGGGGGCTGGTTAAGTAAACATGCTTAGCCTAATAAGTACCTGAATACCAGACTCCTAGATATAAAGCAGGTGTTCGGTGTGAATTGGGTTTGTGTAAACAGGTTAAGCACAATAAAAAAACTCCTTTTTTTTTTTTTTTTTAAACATTTATTTATTTATTTATTTATTGTGTGTGTATGTGTGTGTGGCCAGCTCAGCCCACTAGGGGACAGGGCTGGCTGGCATGTGGTGCTGGGGGATCGAACCGCAGTCCCTGTGCCTTGCCAAGCTTGTTTCAAGTAGGTGCTTTAGACCACTGAACCATCTCACCAGCCCCTGAGACACTTCTGTCATGTAAAGAACTATTAGGTAGGTGCTCAGACCTAGTTGCTTGCCACATTGCATTAGGAACTCTTATCCTTGCAGAAAATTGTCAACTTCTTATGTAGAGAATAGTGATTCATAGCTGTTTGTAAATTATAAGTCTCTGAAGTTGTAATGACAGTTTTGGGTATTTTTATTCTTTTTTTTTTTTTAATTTTATTTGTGTGTGTGTGTGTGTGTGTGTGGCCAGCTCAGCCCACCAGGGGGCGGGGCTGGCTGGCATGTGGTGCTGGGGGATTGAACCGCGGTCCCTGTGCTTTTTTGCTAAGCTTGTTCTAAGTAGGTGCTCCAGACCACTGAGCCATCTCTCCAGCCCTGGGTATTTTTATTCTTGAGTTAGTAAGTATACACACATTTTCATGTAGTTTTGTGTACTTTTAAAGAACATTTAACATACTTTTTTTATTCTTGCCCCGGGCAATTGTATTGTGATTCAGTGTAATACAGAGTTTAAAATCTTGAAATCTGGTATTAGATTTCATTAACTTCTGAGACTTGCCATTGAATTAGCTGTATGGCCTTGACTAAGTTTCTTAGCATCTCTAAGCTTCAATCTCCTTATCTGTAAAAGGGTGATAATATTATCTACCTTGTAAATACCATGATAAAAAGTGAGATATTGCACATAACACAAATAAGAGCACACTTAGCATGCAGCATGGAATTTAGTCATTATTCAATAGTAGCTTATTTATAATCTAGCCTCTCCTGTATTTTTTCCTCTTTTATCTGACTTCAGAGGTAGCCTTCAGGAGCCCTGGGGAGATGGCTCAGTGGAATAAACGCTTCCCTAGCAAGCGCAAAGGTCTGAGTTCAATCCCTGGTTGCACCAAAAAAAAAAAAGAAGTAGCCTTTAGTCAATGTTGTCTTAGTTGATTTTTAATATATTGCTACCTCTTTTGGAACATAAGTGCAGATGGTTCTAGAATTACATTTCTTAACATTTTGTAATGTTTTTAATTTAAAATGCTCTCAGGTTTTAACCACCTGTATAACCAATACATTTTTAAAAATCAAAGTCTGTTTTAAATAGGCCTAGTTGTAAAATGTATTCCTAGATGGTTTAATAATATTAATTCCCTAATGAAATCAAGATAAAATCTTTTCCTTTTGTAAATATTGACAAATTATTTTTCTCCCAATAGCTGTGCCTTTGGCTGCCACCAGTATGTTGATTACGCAAGGACTAATTAGTAAAGGTAAATGATTAAATTTTGAATTTACTTAGTCTTTTGGATATGTTTATTTTTGTGATTCATAAATAAGGAAAGGTAATTGTCTTACTAAGTGTAATCATTGGTGAATTTCTCCAATATTAGAAAAGTTTTGTCTATGTGGAATCATCTGGATTTGAGAATTTGAAGCAGTCCTGCACAGAACATCATTAATAATCTGTGAAAGCAAGAAAATAACTAACTTAAACTTGTGGATAGTTTGGGAGTAGAGTGACAGACCTTGTGTACGTGATTAGCTCAGTAGCTACACTCTTCCTTTGTTAGAAATGCAAATTAATGGGCCCCATTCCAGGCCTAGGTAGTCAGAATCTGAGGTAAAGTTCTGGAATCTGTTTTAATAAACCCAGGTGATTATTGGGCATTAGTTTAAAGTTCAGTAGCTGCCAGTTATAGTGATGCATACCTGTAATTCTGGCATTCTGGGAAGCTAGGGCAGGAGGACAGCAAGTTTAACTCCTGCCTGGGCAAGTTAGTATGAGACATTAGAAGAAAAATAGTAAAATCCTCAAGAAATCAAAAAATAACAAATGCTGGAAAGGCTATGCGAAAAAAGAAATCTTTCTACGTTTGTTGATGTGTAAGCTGGTACAAACACTGTGGAAATCAGTGTAGAGATTCCTCAAAAAAACTAAAATTAGAAATTCCAGTTTCTCAACTATTTCTCAAGTCTCTTCCTTTAAGAGTTAAAAGTATATTACAGTGATGCATGCATATGTGTGTATATAGGACCACAACTCTTAATAGCTAAATCTTAGAAGCAGCCTTTATTTTTCATCAGCAGATGAATGGATAAAAGAACTGTGGTATATGTTACTTAGCCTTAAAGGATAAATTTGACTCATTTATGGGAAAATAGGTGCACCTAATTACCCTAAAGCATAGCAAAATACAGAGGCTTAAGTATTGTATGGTTTCTCTTATATGAGAAACTCAAAGTATAATTTAAAGCTAAAAAAAAAAAAGAGGTGGATCTTTTGCAAATGGAAAGGGGATCTTGAGATGGAAGGAGAGGAGAAGGGCAGGTAAAAGGATTGAACTGCAATACCAACTCCCTAAGCTGAATGTATTCATTATGTATCACAAACGTATTGATTTTTAAAAAGGGAACTGGAGACATACTTCATGAAGGCACCATACCTCATTGTTAAGGCCAGTAGCTACCTGAACCAACATCACTTGGGGGTTGAGAGTCAGGATGAGTTAACATTTAAAAAAAATAATTAGAATCTCAGGGAGCCAGCCAGTAATCTATTTTTTATTAAGTCTCCAAAGAGATTTTATTGCCCCAAATTCTATTGGCTTAAGTAGTACAGCTTATTCCTGTGAATTAAGTATTATCAGTTTCTGTATCTTAAAATTTGGTGGTACAGGCAGTGCTCAGCACATGTACTTAGGGGTACTATCTGTCTGGTGTACCCCAGTGTCCCATAAAAGGGAAACTTAAAAAAAGTAAAGAACTTGAGATATACTTGTACCTATGTGTCCTTTAAAACTGAGGTGTTTTGTACACAGATTGGTCCCATATTGTGAAAAAAACTATAAATTACATTACTCTGTAGGAAAAACTGGCACAATAGAGAAATAGTATCCATTATTGTTGTGCCTATTTAGCATAATTTTGTCATTTACTAATATTAGATCCAAATGAGGGGGTTATAAGTGAAATGTAGTAGCTGCTGGGCAATGTAAACACACACTGAGGAGAATAGAAAATTTAAATAATAAGCTACTGAGTTGAAAATATTCAGAGTTGTGGATAATGATCTTTCCAAGAAAAATCTCTGTAGGCTTGATATAATTAAGGATGTAAAGAGATGCAAGTATGTTATGTACATGTACCAGTTCCCCATGATAAATGTAATCATGTGCTGCAAACATGTACTGATCAAATTCTTCCAAACAGTATGCTTTTTTTGGAAGGAGTAGGTTTTTAAGGATGCACAGGATTTAAATTAAAAAGAAAAGGAATGTTTGAGAAGATCTGGTAATTATGACAATAAACATGGTTCTTGGGTGGGGCACTGAGGAGGCTGACACGAATAGAGGTGCAATCCTGCAACGAATGGAAAAAAAAAAAAAAACAGCTAAGTTTGAACCAGGAAAAATTGTAATTTGGAAGAGGGCATGAAAGGGGAAAAGCTTTGGAGGTTTGAGGTTTATGTGAAGTTTAAGATTTTTCTACCACTTGGCAATAAGATAGAAACTAGAGACTTGAGGAAAAAAAATTGCTAATCTACCAAGACATGTTGCATTTAAGCCAAATACCTGGTATTTTATATTTATCTACAGTGAGTCATACTCAACATGGTCTTGCTGTTACCTGTTTGTTCTTAATCTATCAAAAGAGAACAGAGAACACTGAAAAAAGAAAATCCTTTTTTATACATCTTTCCAGCTGCCTTTGCCTCAAATTTGAAATCTGACTTCATGAAGGAACATTTCACTTTTTACTTCTTTTGGCCCCATCTGTCCTACATTATCCATGAATTTTTTTTCATTTATTGAAACTTTAAAAGATTACCAAACATAGCATCCTTGCTGCTTAAATTTGTTGTAGTTTTTGTTTTTGGCCAACATTATACAACCTTAACCATTTATTTTTTTCTTCCTCCCTTCCTTCCTGGGAATTGAGAAGAAATGAGAGCTATATTCTTAGCTTTTTTGTTTTGAGATAGCGTCTTGCAAATTTGCCCAGGCTGGCCTTGAACTTGTAATACTTCTGTCTTTGTCTCAGCCTTCGGAGTAGTGGAATTGGAAGAGTGTCCAGTTTTTCCTTTTGGTTCCCTCCCCAACTAATTCTTGAATCATTCTTTTCATTTCACATGTGTAATTGCATAGTTCTAGAATTTCCCTTCTACTTCAGGCAATTGTTAAATTCTTTTCATGTTTTTTGAGTATGTAACAATGTATTGCATGCTTTGTGGTGGATAGCACTAAAAACAAATACATGACCTCTTGGTGTTTAGATCTTCATTTATTGGTCTTTCTCTGCATGTATTAGTATTGGTGTTGGAGTTCTGTGGATTTTAGTTTTCAGTCTGTACTTTTTTTGTGTGGGGCTATGGTGCTGAAGGTTAAACACAGGACTTACATCATAAAGCTATCCTCTGAGTCCAAATTTTTTTACTTCCATCTACAGTAATATGGGCTCTAGTTATCATAGGAGCTGTATTAGTCACTTTTCCATTGCTGGCACAAAATACTTCACATCCACCATTTAAAGAAGGAGGTTTAGGGGCTGGGGAGGTGACTCAGTGGAATAAACGCTTGCCTGGCAAGTGTAGGGGCTTGAGTTCAATCCCCAGTTCTGCCAAAAAAA